ACTACTATTATTATTGTTGTTATTGTTGTTATTATTATTATTATTATTATTATTATTATTATTTATCGATGTTGGTAGCAAACTTTAATTGTTGGATGCTGATATAATAATGATGATTTTGATTTAATCTAGTTAGTTTAATTGGATGTCATATTAGTCATGAAGTTGTTAAACTAAATTGATTGTTATTAAATAATAATAATTTTGTATATTTACACCATAGTTACCTTTTTTTTTTTATTTTTCAATTTGGGCAATGAATGCTGCATCTTGCACATTCCTATATATATATATATATAATTGGTACTTATCTTAAGATATAATTAATTGTATTTTAATATTAAATATATATAATATACCTCATCTGGTGATGGTAATGCATCTGGTGATGATGCATGATATGCTGGTTGTGGTGATTCCTATAGATACAAGTAAAAAAGAATTAAATAAAATATTATATCTATTATTAACACTTCAGTTTATACTTACATAATGACGCCTTTTCCTTTTTGGTGAACATTTGAAGGTCCATCTTTGTAATTTTTCCTGGGACCTCTGGAGCGAAGATTATATCTAGTTTCTTCAACCCTTTCTAAATGTTTTCTTTTTTTATTAGGACCTAATTTTTAATAACAATAAAAAACACTATTAATAAAAATAAAAAAAAAGGATTATAAACAACTAATTGATGCCAATTAATTTAGTCACCAATCACAATTTCATCATTATTATTATCATCATCAATGTCCTGTAATAGAAAAAAGATATAATAATATAAAAGTAAATTTCTGAAATAAAATAACAATACTAAACAGTGAAGTCATTAAACTTTACATTTTCAACATCATCATCATTATCAACAACAATCCGTAATAGGAAAAAGATAAATAATATAAAGGTTAAAAGGTTGATTTCTTAAATGAAATAAACAAATTACTAAACAGAGAAATTCTTTAAACTTACATTATCATCACCATTATACCACTATTATTATTATTATCATTATATTCTACTTCGTCCTGTAATAGGAAGAAGATACATTAATATAAAGGTTAAATTTTGGAAAACAAGAAAACAAAAATGATGATAAAAAAGAGCATTTATTTGATTATTACTGGAAATAATATGCTTAATACAGGGTTGGCAAATGTGCGGTCCATTGGGTCCATTAATGTAACACTTTAACCATATTTAGTATTTTATTAATGGCAATGGACCAGTCCAAAATCCATCAGTTCTCAATGGACCAGTCAATTTGCCAACCCTGGCTTAATATGATTTTTAAATATCGATTTGCTGAAAAAAGAGTTTCTTCATCTACATTTCTCAAGCATTAAATTTACATTGGATAATTTATTTATGTTGTTTAAAAAGTTGTTCTGTGAAATATGATAATATATGAGTCTTAAAGATAAAGATTGAAATTTGAACATTGTGATGTTTTACTTACTCTAAATTGAAATGAATATTGTATATAATGATTAACTAGAATAACGACAAGTGGCAATAACCACCACCACCATCCTTTAATAAACACTTGCCCCTTCTCTTTTATCATGATCATTATTTTTTACATCTTTTACTGGTGTTTTTAATCTGTTCAATGACATTTTTTAGAAAAAAAAGAAGTTTGTTGTTTGATCGACAAATGTAGTCAGGGAATATGCTAAATTTGATATTTCCTAATTTATAAATGATAAACGTTCTGGAATTTCTTCAGAAGAAAATATGATTGGCTAAATTTATGCAATCCTATTGTTAATAAATATAAACAATCTTTAAAGGGAGAGAAAAATGAGAAAATCATGGCGAGAGCTTTTATTGACTGGTCATAAACTTCCGAATTATATGGGACTAAACAATATGAGATAACATTTTTTGCAATTTAACATATATTATAGATAATTTTAATATATATATCTGTACACATTAATTTTTTCTGTAATAGTTATTTAATAAAAATAATGTTTATTATAATTATAACTAACCATGTTATTCCTTTTACCCATTAAATATAATATACATACATAAATGTGTTTATAATTTATAACCAATCAATTCTTTTACCCATTAAATACATATAATTAATATACACAAATAAATGTGTTTATAATTTATAACTGACCAAGTTATTCCTTTTACTTATTAAATATAATATTGTAAATGTTCAAATAATTATCACAATTATTTACAAATGTTTAGATATTTATTTAACACTGTTAATGAACTGATAATTTTATTGTTGTAAAATTATATAAAAGTTATCTTTATTTGTTTGAATTTTACATCTTTAAATAATAAAAATACAGTTCTTAAAATACAAATATAAATCATAAGAAAATAAATAAATATATAATCTATATATTGTATGTAAGGTTGCTTGCTGAAACTCCTCCAGAAATCAATCAGCAGGGTTTCGGCAGATTACACATTAATTGTTTATTAGAGTTTCAGCAGAGTTCCGCATTTTGAGGTTTCACCATTTTGGCATAGTTTCTAGGGATGTTAAATGGTCCGTCCAGTCTGGTCCAGTCTGGTCCATGTCAGTCTTATTTAAAGTCAGACCAAACTGTCAGTTTTGAAAATGGTCCGAAAAAGACCAACGGTTCAGTCCAGACTGCAGTCTTTATTAATTCAAACAAATCATAATTTTTTTATTGAAAAACTTTTAAAAATTTTAATCCAATTTAACTCTTCATCACCTTCTATATTTTCATCAGGTGTAGATGTTTATTCAACAACATCTAAAATAATTTTATCATTATCCATTTCTGAAAAATAGGAGAACCAACTTTTTAGACATATAGCAGCTCTTGCAGTTTGTGGGTGAAGCCTTGATCTTGTTTTACGAATAGTGTGATTAGCAAGTGAAAATAATTGTTCACAAGGCACAGAGGTGGCCTGAACAGTGAGATAATCTTTGGCAATCCTTGCTAACATTGGAAATTCTGTTTGATGTGTTTCCACCAATTTAATGGATCAATGTTTTTGTTGGTAACAATTGGTAGTTGTAAATAACATTCAAGTTCATCTTGTGTTGATGATTGTGTGTGATGATTACTATTATCATTGTTATTAGGTAAAGAAATCATGGAGAGAAAATAAGAACGGCTATTTGGATTAGGATTTTGTTGTGAATTTTGATTAGACAATTGTTGATTCAGTGGTTCATATGTATCTATAAGATTTTTAAATTCAATAAAAAAATTGCATGGAATCCAAGACTGCACCACTATGTCAATCAAGCTATCAAGCTGTTATGTTTGTGCATGATTTAAAATTCTTTTGTGCTCCCATCTTTCTTTACTTATATATAATCTATTGGTTCCCTTTTTACTGGTCAAATGATGCCAAATTGGTTAATGAGGTATTCAGCAATTATCAGAATCTGATTATTCTTTAAAAAAATAATCAAGGTATTAGCATACTGATAAGTTAATAATATTTTTATCATATAGTCTATAAGCCTACTAGTAAATATTGAAAATACCAATATTTATCAGATATTCTTTTACAATTAATCCTAATCGAGAAGCCTCTCAAGAAATTGTACATAATTTAATAAAGTTTTTTGAAAGTCCAGAATATACATGCAGCCCAAATTGGTTTGGTGATTTTGATGGTCAAAATTATCCCAATTTTGATGGTAGAAAGTAGAAATTAATTACAGCATTCACTATTAAAAACATAAGTGTAATACCCCTTTACTACATGTGTAACCCCCTTTATGACAGTGTCAAAATTACACATGCAGCCCAAATTGGTTTGGTGATTTTGATGACCAAAATTATTCCAATTTTGATGGTAGAAAGTAGAAATTAATTATGGCATTCACTATTAAAATCATAAGTGTAATACCCCTTTACTACATGTGTAACCCCCTTTATGACAGTGTCAAAATACTTTGGGCTGCATGTATAGTATAGTTGACATTAATTTGATGTTAAATATGATTAGTGGTCACTGTAAAATGTAAATTACTATCTTGATGGTTATTAATTGAATATTTCTTATAAAAAAAGCTGGAGTCCTTTTGGTTATGAATGAAATATTCATGACCACAGCATATTTTAAAATTTTATTGATTTTGTGGAAAAGTAATAAACTGACTACCCAAAATAAGTTAATGTTAACTTTTGAACTATTGAGAAACTACTATTATACAATTACAGTCTGGGTTTTTACAACAGGAGAGACTGTTCTGGGAACACAAAAATTAACAGGAGGGAACACAAAATTTCAACCCATGCTATTTGTTGATTGACCAATTAAAATTGCGAATTTGATAAATGTAGAAATAAATATGGGTTTGATTCATTTTGTCAACAATCACTTCACCAACAATTGTTACATTAACGAATTTAAGAAGTTGGAAGCAACCGTTGAAATAGTCTAATAAATTAAATCGTACTACTCGAAAATGTATTTAAAGGGTTGGTTTTTGACTTGGTCGGATAATAACTCTCTTCCTAACTCTTCTCTTGACCATATCTCTTGATATAATCAAAATAACCTTAATATAATGAATGTCAATGAAATGATTGTAAACACAACAAATTTAAGATACATGATTG